TGTCAGTACCGCTTCCATTTTATTTAAAGCTATCTCTAGGTCCTCCTTGCTAGATGCTAATACTGCTATATCATCTGCAAATCTAAGCATACTAATCTTTTGCCCTTGCACATCTATCCCTACAGTTGTACTGTCTTTAATGATGTTGATGGCGTCTTCGATGTATAGATTAAAAAGTAGCGGTGACAGTGTGCATCCCTGTCTAACTCCCTTCCTAATAGAATAATTAAACTGTAAAAATGTATCAACGTTTACGTAAATAGTTAGATATCGTCATATCTCAGTGAAATAAAGTTATAAAATTTATTTTATTTACAAGAAAGCTCACAATTAGCATCCACTTAGTATCCACCATAAACACGGCGAGTTTAATCTATTCTTGTTATTCAGTAATTAACTCATACTCAAAATTCTCGGTTTATTAACTGTAAAGATATTGCGATAAAAGTTTTAACTTTTTGCTTCGTTAAACATCAATTAATAAAAGTGCAGAATCACATTGTAATTTTTATTACAATATATAGATACAAAATAAATAAAGCTTAATAAATAAAGCTGTGTATAATACAGAAAAGTATGCAAAATAAAACACAAGAGTTTTATTTTTCTTACTTTCAATCCATTTCATTTAAATCCTTAAACGTACCCTAACTTAGGATTATTTTACTTATTCTACTCAACAACTAACAAATACTTCTCACAAAGGAAGGAAAACAAATAAGAATTGGTATAATAACCTCTCAATGACATAATAACTGTGAACAGGTCTTTTATCTAAAAATTCAAAAAACACTTTTAAATTTTTAGTAAAATAGAAAGTAACGGGAATGCGAATTTCAGTTTAGTCTACTCTGTTAATGGAACTAATTAACATGTATGTAGATCTGCCTTTTACGTTCGTCGCCGAAAAGAAAGGCTTTCTATGCGAAAGAAAGCAACTTATCCTATTAAGTGGACCATAGCGGAATCGCTTTTTCTAATGTTTAGCGTGGAGAAAGCGGAAACGGTGGATGCGCGATTAGGCGCATTATTCGATGGAAAGTTTTCGGTCCTGCCATTCATCAATACGAAAACCGTTGGTACAGATTTATTCATGTATACTTATGTAGTTATTTGAACCGATTGACCGCAGAATTTAGGTGAAAGTAACAAGATACATATGGTATGTTCAAGCACGTGCTTTCAGCCGATGTATGTAGGTCAGACAAGAGGCGTTGTACGGACTAGTGACGGTTCTTCGACTCCATATAATAACGCTACGATTACCTTTCGTTATTAACTGACGACCTGCCTCTGTTGTTGTTTCAATGAACTGATTCTTTTCGAAACAAAAAATGCTTCATGAAATGTTATTAGTTGCTGATTGGTTGCAACCGTGGTCGAAATCCCTTTGAACCATCAGGACCTTGCGGCATTCGTAAAATATTTTCTGGTAGGTGAAATTGAGCGCTGTTACTTCTCGATCTGGGTCCACTCGATTCGGAAGACTGGCTTGTCGTAGACATTCTCCTTTGAAAGAAAGCGTTGGTTGAACAGTCTGTGCTCGATAAGCTACTGTTGCTAAATCTTCTAGGAATGAAGAGGGCGGAGTCACTTGAATCTTTACTGCCGTAAGATTTTCTCCGGGTCATGTACATGAAGTGTGCTTCAGTACTGGATGCCGATAACCGTCTTTGTAACCATGCTGCTGGCTCGATGGTTCGTTGAGGAAAATTTCCCGATCCTCTTCGTATCTGGAGTCGAGGGTCGATTCTTATCCTGAAATCTTCAGCCTCGGAACTGCTCGGACAGGACGAAAAGAAATCTTTTTCTTTTGATTTAGTTTCTTTATCCTTTTTGTTATTCTTGTTGGATTTCTTCTTACGATCGGTGTTCGGAACACCGTTTAATTCGTAGACCTTCATCGGTTCTCCATGGGTTTCTTGCAGTTTCATGGCATTTCTCGCCGATTCTGAGTTAACAAATTCAACTAAAGCACATGTAAGTCCGTTGAGTGAAGGGTTCTTGTTAATGAATTGTCGGACGTCTGCGGGAATTGGGTTGCCCGGCCTCAGTACCCGGATTAAAGAGATTTCGCCGCACGATTTAAAAAGATCGGCAACGTTTTCTATAGTAACTTTATCCAAGGGCATGTGAACAGCAACGATGGTACGCGAAGGGGTGGTTTCATCGTACTGGGGAAGCGGGTCCTTTCTTCGAAGTTTTGTACCGGCTTCGTTTATCTCTAGTTTTGTGGAACGCGACAGTGCATGTGCTACAACCCTCCAGTCTTTCGTCAAATGTTTCACCCTCTTAAAACTAGATATGAGTTTGAGAGAAACGTACCCTTCCTTGTTTCTTTTCACATGTTTGAGCAAGAACGCGTCTTTTGTGATGTTCGAATCGGAAAAGTAAAACTCAACCTGGGCTACAATTTTGTCCGCCAATTCGTCTGAGGGCGGCGTGAAGGGTGGTTCGGTTATTTCGGGTGTAACTTCGCAGCCGGAATCTTTGCCGCCGCCATCGCGGGATCCGCTGTCCGAAGCACTGTCCGACATGTCGGCCATGTGGGCTCCTTCGTCCTCATTTTCTGCTGGATTTTCTTTATCTTCCTTGTGTTCGTCAAAAGAAAAGGAGACGTCACTATCCACTGATGAAATGCTGCCGCGATTTTCTAATATATTCGGCGTCGGAGATGACGGGAGCGTTAAGTCACCGACTTGGTCGGCGATCTCGGTTACTTCGTCTGTTGGTTCAGGCATTTTTGTTCTTCTTCTTCTTTAATAAAATAAGTACGTACTACTATCACAGTGAAATATTAATTGAAACGGAAGTCAGTCTTGTTTTTGTTTTTTTTTTTCAGTTTAGTCACTTAAACAGATATAGATACGTAATTATAAACTACCACTAGGAAGGCACTTGGTACAGCTATCACAATCAACGTTTCTGGTAACCAATTGTTGGCAGTTTGTGTTGGTAATCTTTATTTCTCCTCGTAATTGTTTCGCAAATGCGGGTCAGAGCGTTGAAGAAGAGATCAATGTACGTTTTAATAGTGTACACAGAAACAGTAAGTTCGCCAATGCCACGACACACCTGTCTTATGACCTAGCTTTCTTCTAACTGCGGCGCGTTATTTTGCCGACTGCTTTTATATGTGACTGTAGCACTGAGCACCTACCTATCGCGCGCGCTAATCAACAAACTACAACAGCCCCACTATTCGCTCATTAACAGGATCAGTAGTCTGATCAACAGCGGCTTCTCTTTACCTTTTGACGAGTCATGGTCGAGAACGTGACCTAGCTTAACAAGGATGAGCGCGCTGCTTGCCGGCCGGACTGTCGTGTCGTCTAATTGCAGACCTTCCTTAACTCAATCCTTCGACCTTGGTAACAGTACCCTACTATACGTGCAGCTACAGCCCTAATGACAAACAATAAAGACGAAAACTAAAACGCGTTTCGATATCGAAAGTATCATCCCCACGAGTAGTTACACATGCGAGGAACGCGTTTTTATGCGAAATTTTGGGTTTTATTGTTTTTATCATACTCTTGTCGAAAGTACGATGTTTTTTCCTTGATTTCAAGGACTAACGCCAAAAATTCCCCTTCCGGGCAATACATAGCATTATTTACTCCTAATTTTAAGTAGGAAAGGATCTGTCATCCCTGGTGTGGTTTGTACCCCCTTCTTAGGCGCTGTGGCAATTTCCACGCGGAAGATGTTAAAGTACGAGGGATGTTTCCAAAGTTCTGGGAATTGTACTATAAGTAAATATTTAGGCAATGTTATTGGTGCCAGATAAGTCTTGACATTTATGCAACTATCTAGTGCAATATTGTTCGGACTGATTTAGGTGTTCGCCGATATAAACGCATTTTCATAGCATTGTTTTTGTAACCATGGAAGAAGCAGCAAAATCTCAAAGAGCAATAATTTTCTTTTTGTGGGAAAAAAGTGTGAAAACATCAAAAATTATTTAGCGTCTTTGGTGAATCCAAAAGTACTGTTTACAGGTGGATCGATCGTTTTAAACCAGCAGAACATCACTAGAAGGCGATCCACATTGTGGGCGCCCAAGCACGTCGGTAAATGAAAACGTGGATTCCTTATTTCAATCCTGAGACCAAAAGTCAATCCAAAAATGGCGCAAACCTGAAGAAGGATCTCCACTGAAGGAGCGTGCAGTTTCGTCTGTTAGAAAGGTAATGCTTAATGGATTCTCGGATTGCGAAGGGATTATTATTATGGATTATCTGGCGAAAGGTACTACAATTAACGCAGAATGTTATTCGAATTTAATATCCGAACCACTGCGACAGGCACTTGTAAAAAAAAAACGGCCTGCAAAGTTGTACAAGCGTCAGTTATTATAACAGGTAATGCAGGACCACACACTGCAAGAAAAACGAAGGATGTATTGAATAATTTGCTTTCGCACCCACCATAATTTACCGGATCTTGTACCCAGAAATTGTCATCTGTTCCCAGATTTGAAAAAATCCTTACGAGGTGTTCGATTTGAAAATTTAACTGACATAAAACGTGCCATAAATAGGTGGATTGAGGAGACACCGAAAAAGTTCTTTGAGAAAAAAATTAGTTTATCGTTGGGATAAATGTATTCAATTAAATGGAGATTATGTTGAAAAACTACATTGTAATATTGACGAAAATTAACAACGTAATAAAAGTTATAGCTAAGTTCTTAGCTATAGAACTTTGAAAAAATAGCTCGTACTTTCCTAGGTCTAGGTAAATGTGTTAATGGGAATCTCTCTCCCTATTACTCAGCGATCGACAGTCCTAAAGTTACCATTTTGCAATATTGTGAGCAGATAGCGGTATGTTAGATGTTTGCCAGTTTTTCTGTTTAAAAAAATGTCTTGACCAAACTGACAGGATAGGAAAGAGTGGAGATACGTGTCCGACCAGTCTTAGGACTGACGACCCTATGATGATGACGATATTGAGTGTAATAAACTTGGTTCTTATTGGGTGTTCCACAACACCACACGGATTGTTTATTTAGTTCAGTTCTATAAAAATAGTGATGAGCGGAGTTGGTCGTGGTATTGGTCTCGAACGAACAAGATCAGAAGAAGACAAGAAACTGTACCACTCTTTGATAGATACTTCTTTCAAGTACTTTTTACTATTTTATTCGTCAATTTATATGCTGAAGGAAGGGTTAATTTATGTATTGGAGGGAGGGGTAGGTTCTCGAGTTNCACTTCTACTTTTTTTTATATTTGCTCAGGTAGATACCCTATTTTGGAAAGTATCTCTTCTACATTAGGTATTTATTAGGCTTACTACATATTTTTCTATTGTGTGAAGTTAATTCTGTAATTACTAATTAACAGGAAATAACAACTTAATCAAGAACTTTTGTGGATTTACCTTATTACATATTATGCTATATGTGTACATTGTCCCAACATTTGTAATATTTTAATTTTACTGCTATTTTCAAAAAAGTATTTTAATCTACACTAACAGTTAGATAGCAATCAAAAGCAGCATGTGAATCAATTCCTGTATTGCTTTGTATTAACTTATATAATATAAAAAAAAATGAAATGATGCTATAAAAATCGATAAAGTTGCTTCAGTTTTTAATAGCAAAACGATTTTCTTACGATTTTGCCATTTTAATAGTACGTTGCCTATATGTACTTTGATTTGAACTAATTACTGTTGTTTGATTTTGTAGGACTTCGTCAAAGAAATCTTCCAAAAGATGCTACACCAGCTGTCACTCCAGGAAAACCTTTGCAACCGTTTAAACAAACGGCTTCAAGAGGTTCTGCTCCTTCAATTTTCAGCACCCCTGTCATACGACCCAACATTTCTAGAACTTCGGTGCCTACACTGCCAAATCTCAATCCAAAACAAGGGCCCCCTTTTGCTGTGCCACCTCCTCAAACTCCGTCCAATGTTTTAGCTACCATTCCTCCCACACCAACGGCACCAACACCTAAAAGCATTTTACCCAGAGATAGATCGGTTTTTGACAAAATGGTCGATTACCTAGTGGGTGATGGACCTTCTAATCGTTATGCTCTTATTTGTCAGCACTGCTACAGCCACAATGGTAAATAGCTTATAAATGAGTAGTGAAATGTTTTCATAAAAAAAAAATCTTATATACAATATTTGATAGGTACAGACTAGAAACTATTCAACAACATTAAGACTTTCATGTTTTTAATATTTTCAAACTTAACTGAATGAAGTATTTATACTATTCGTGTTTTTTTTTTATAGAAGTAGGAAATAATCTGTTGTAAATAAATTGTAGTCAAATTTAATTTTAACAGGAATGGCACTTAAAGAAGAGGCCAAATACACATCTTTTCGTTGTTGTTATTGCTACGCTTTTAATCCCGCTCTTGTGAAAAAACCTCAAGCCCCCAAATTAGAATATGGTAGGTCATCTCCTATTACTTTGAGACGCCATTCAACATCCGAGTCGGATAAAAACGAATCGAGCGAAACCGAAGATGAAGAAATAAAAAAAGCAATAAAATCAAGCTCTCATAACCAAGGCACTGAATCCTCGGAAGGGGACGCGGGAAAAGATTTCGGGAATTTTTCTGAAATAGAAAGGAAATTTTCCGAAATTGAGTCAACTATAGCGGAAATAAAAAAGGCAGAGGTCGAATCTACAGACGAGGAGATTCTAAATGAAACTAATAGAAAGGAGTCGAATTTACCTGAGAATGAGCTCGCTTCTTTTGAATTTGTCAGTATTACTAATACAAATGAAGAAAGTCAGTCATTAATGAACTCAGAAGATAACAAGGAATCCCCGGATGAAAATAAGACAGAAATGAGAATCGAAAATAGTGAAAACATAAAACAGGAACATGACAATGCAAACCAAAAATACGAGGAGGCTAGTACATCTCTTTGTCCTACTAATGAAGACTGATCTAAAGATTAGCAGTTAACTTTTCACGCCGTTTCCATTACAAATATCGATTATATATTTTCTTAATTTATTTTTGTTTTTATTTTAGTTATGTCTTGCTGTACAAGACGTACAGGATGGCCAATATATATTTGGAGTTTATGTTGCTAAGAACATTACTAAAACCAAGTAACGGCACATTTTTTAGTTTAAATTTGAAGATAGATGAGTATGAAAATATTTCATTTTCTTTTGGATTCTATAAATTAAAAAGAAAAGCAATAAATTATTTTTTATTTATGTAATTATTGTATTTGTACTATTGATCTACTTTTACATATTGAAGTCAATTTTGTCAAAGAGTTGTTATAAAACTAATATTGAATCAATTTTAAGTTAAAAACTGCCAGTGTTTTGAAATGTCATCTGTGTTGCGCCACCCTGTACAATATTAATTGCAAATTGGTATATTATTTGTTATTCCTTTTTTTTTTTCAAACCAATGCTGTTCCTTTTGAATGTAAAATTACATCATTTCATAAAGAAGTGCCAAAAAGTCTGGTCAACATATGTAAATATTCGTTAAATAATTTTAGAAATGTCACTAAGCGATGACGATATTTGATAAAAATTGACTATTGTACGAGACACTGTCTTCCTGAAAAGAAACTGTAAAAATACAAAATATACACTATTACTAGATAATGAATACTGACTCGTAAAAACTATTGCTTTTCAGTTATTTATTTTTTTTGCGCAATTTCTGATTGTTAATTATTTATTTTCCATCACATTACTAATCCAAAAAAATATTTCTTACATTTATATTCTTTATACTCACAACACGTACAATAATGCTAATTGTACAACAATACAATGGCACTATGTTTATACCAGTTTCCTTAGATTTTATTATATTGTTGTTTATTCGCATTTATATATAAAGGAAACTACTAAATGGAGTGACCTGTAGGACTTAAGTAGCTTATAGTAGATTGAATTATACTTTAACCTGAATATTGTGCACTTAATAGTGAGGACATGGGCTAATTGTTCGAGCTCCTTAAATACATAGCATATGACTAGGATCCTTTACTGTTTTGAACATTACCTACACAAAACATATGCCAGGTCAATCTTAGTAGTTTCCTTTTGAGTAATTTTTGAAATAATAATTATGGAAAGATTCAACATTGAATACACACATAGTGAAGTAGTAAAGACAATGAAACAATAAATAATATACAGTTATATCAGTCAGACCTAAACAATACTTATATTAGTTTGAAAACTTTTGTGTTATTTGCCCCTGTGGATATTTAATTATTGTAGTGAGCACCTACTCTGTTAACGTACTGGTAAGAGAAGTGCTTTTTTTAACGTACTAAAAATGTAATGTGAATGAATCTTATAGTGGATTAATATTGCATAAAAAAAAACGTTGTACATATAAAATAATTGTACACAATAGTCAAAGGCTTGAAGTATTAATAGCGAAATTTTTCAGATTGGTAAAAACAGTTTGTAAAACAATAAATAAATAATTATTGGCTATGGATTTTATGAAAAGTTAATTATATATATGTATATATTATGTATACAGGGTGGCCACAAAACATGATTGAGGGAACTTGAAAAAATAATAGTGCCTTTGTAAATGAGAACATATTTATCAAAATTTGGATGCTGCATGAGAAAAGACTGTATATGTATAAGTTGAACTGATTATTTTATTATTTATTGTTTTTCTGTGATGAAAACGAAATTCACATGTGATCACCCTGTGTACCATTGGAAGAACTGCATAATTTATTAATTACATTTATTAAATACACAATTGATTATATACTGGTATCTACCAATGACCAAAATGTTCTCTAATTGGTTTGTTGAATACATTTGCATATGTTAATTTAAGAAAAAGTGTCTCTGTTGTGTATAAGTATGGCAAACGAAGCCCTCTTATAGTTCAACATAGTATATTAATAGTGCTAATTATAGTGTTTAAAGATTACTTTCATGTGTGGAAGTATATCGATTTCAATCAGGATCGAAGGAGGTGCCTTTCTCTGTTTTTATACCATCTTGCTGTTAATAAATGCTTTAAATAAGTTTCAGACTTTTTAAGCGATAAAATAAGATTGAGCATAATAACAATATCTTGTAAAAAAATATTTTAGGAACATATATATATTTTGAGACATTTTTAATCGTTTCCTTATTGCGATTTAACAACGAAAGTGGTGTTAAAACAGTCTTAATTAGAAATAAATGAGGAATCGTAATTATTATTCACAACGAAATATATGTGCTGTTTTTATAAGAATCTTCGCCTTTAACCTGCATTTAAATTTTATTTTTTAATTAAAAATACTAAATTTTTAAAATCTATAAGGGACATTTTCAAAACGTATTCATAAAAATTTCGGGGAAATTTAAAATTACTTTTTTTGAATGAATTTTTTATTATAGTTTTCTGTTTTCAGTCAACGATAAAAATAAAACTATATCTTCGTATATGTAATTGAAGCTAATGATGAATAGATGTCGCCACTATTATGAATTTAATCAATTTTTGTAAGGATAAAAATCCTTTAATGATATATTGATACATCAGTTAATACGAATCAATACCACCGTGGCCTTTTTTGGTAGTAATTAGAAGATTCATTAAAATATTAACATTAATAAAATCAATGTAGCAACAAAATAGTTTTTTTTTTTAATGTTAAAAATGCTTCATTATTCTGTTTATGAATAAACATTTATATATGTTAACTAACTTTTTTAATTAGGTGCCAATTGCTACGTAACATAAAATGCATAGTAATGAACCGTTAGAAACACGTATTTATTTAAGGATATACCCATGATATAAGTAGTTCATTTCTCTTTTCCAAGCGACTGCACATGCAATGTCAAGCGCAAACTGTAGAAGAACGTTGAACTTGGCTTTGCAATGAAAGTTAATAAATAAATGCGGTATTTGGAGGCATTATTGCCATTGCCGCTGTTAAGTATTGAATTGAAACGTCTACGTCGTTCACATAGCATACAGGATGGCAAAGGAGAAAGTTAAATAGGAGTCCAGATTACTAGGTTAAATTAGTTGAGACTTTTACTTAAGTTAATATATGTATTTGTAAAGTCACCAACATATTTACTAGATACGAAATAGGAATTTCAAAGACATGGAAAGCCAAATTTAATAAAAATAAAATCAAAGAAACTTGCAAAAGAATAAGGGATAAGTTGCAGATAATTTTTTGCAAGTTTATTACAATTCTTTTTACGAACCATTTTAACTTTTTGGATACTCTTTATTTGTATACTGGCACAGCACATTCTTAATTAGCGTTTAATTAGTGGGTGCATAATTTGACATATTATAATAGTTGCATAATAAATAAGGACTAAGAAATATTGCACTTAAGTGTTCCTTATTACGCCCCTGATTGTCTAACTCTTATCTACTTAAGTAACATTGGGTTACCATTGACTTGAGCTCGGTAATTGTTTATGGTTACACACATGTCAGTTATTAAAATATTTTATATCAACGGGACTATTTTTACGATTGGAATTATTTATTATTATAAAGGATTTGAAGTGTTAGTTTAGATAATTCGTAAGTGTTAGTGAAAAAGGATAATGCGTGAGATTACCTTATGGATTATTATCTGTTAATTTGTACAGAAGAAGAAAATCAGGTAAGAAGAAGGATCAGTTTCACCAGTTTGCATCGAAAGGTTTGAAAATCAGTTTAGTATAATGTGTATACCTAGATTTGTATCATACATAATGTATGAGCGTTAAAAACAACTTTTTCGTAAATGCAGCACAATTTTGTAAACACTTATTAGATAAGATATAAGGTCTAAAAATAAATGTCTGAATTGATGATAACAATTATTATCAATTATGGGCATTTTTTTGCAATCATCTTGTGTCCTTTATCTAATTTTAATTATAAATTAATTTCAGTTTTCTTTTATAGCGGTGAATAGCACATGTCACTTGATTGATTTTTTTTTAAATAAAACACAAAAAACGAACGTTTAAGTAATTCATACTTAGCATTATTAACGCATTTGTGTTTTTGCTTTGTCTTGGAATTGGTTATTGACATGTAATGTTAAAAGCAAATTAACAATATAATCGCAACAATTAAAAAATTCCAGTTAAACTCACTTCTAATCATGATAACGATATTTTTTTAAACAGTTTTTATTCGATGACGGTACTTACATTAAAAGCGTGCAGAATTTTGTCCTTGACTGTGTAGTGACCGAGAAATGTTGACGACGTAAACTTTCACAAAAAGATTAATAAATATATTGTAATAGAACATCTGTGTAGTTAATACAAGTGTGTATTTTACGATTATTAGGAGCGAACACAAGCCTTTAACAACAAGTAGTAAAAATAGGCTATTTTGAAATAAGTTGTTTGCTACAGTCTTTGATAGGAAGTTAAAATCAGTAAAAACCATCAGAATTAATTTCATCTCTTGTTATTTATTGAAAATGTTTATTCATGCATTTTGTTTTTTTGTATAATATACTTGTAGGTAATATATTCATACATTAAAATTTTAAAATACAAATTTAAACTATTATTTATGATTTAATTTGAAAAATGTCAAAATATCACCTGACCACAATTGAAAAATGTTTAAATAAAAACGAAAACCCTGGACTAAGAATGTGATCATATTTTATAATTGTCTTCCGCTGCTTTTTTTTTCTTTGTTAGACACTGTGATTAAAAAGGTATTTGAGTCATAATTTTGATTAGGTGAAAACAAATGCATAAATAATCTCAGGTATGTACTTAGTTTTACAAAAACTTTCCATGATCAAAGTAATCTTTAATAATGCGACAAACAATTACTTTTTTGCGTATTAGCCAAAATACTATTGCGTTTCCAATAGTGATAAATCGTTCAGATAATCCAAACTAATACATTTACAAAATTTCCAGTTTCAAAACATCTTAATGTGGAATCTTACACAATATTAAACGATAAAAACATGCAAAATTACCGAGATAAGTTTTATTAGTTTGAATTGCTCAATTTCAGCGGATTCAAAAAGTCCAATACATTGCATTCTTTCCAGATCATTTCTGTACGACAAGAATCTGTCCTTATAATTTAATAAATTCTAATTTCTTCAAATTTAAACAATTTGTTCATGTTACCGAGTACTACTACATTTTTCGTTGATTTATGAATAATCGCAATGATACCTGTATACAGGTAAGGCAAATCATTCACCGAGCATAAACATTACACATTTTCTTGTTGACATATTTCAGCCTCGTCTATCTGAAAATATCACCTGCTTTTCTAAAAACCATCCGAAACTAACCGAACCTCCAAAATCATTTGAACAAAGTGCAACATTGTATTTATTGTACTTTATTTATATTAATGAAAGCTGACTGAAGGTATTTGCATGTATTACAATATCCCTGTGTTAGGTTATTAATTCACCATTAGTGTGTAGTTTATAGAATAATTCATCATCATAAGGTCGTTAGTCCTAAGACTGGTTGAACACGTACCTCCACTCTTTCCTATCCTGAGCTAAACTTCGCATTTCCCTAAAACTAGAACAGCCCACATCCTTAACTATTTGCGAACAGTAATCTAATCTAGGTC